GTCTTTTGCCGAAGCTCAGACTCTGGCACAGGATCGGGAACGTTGGAAGCACTGTCTGACGCGTCTGCCCTCCGCGACCCGAAAGGAGAAGCGGCGATGGAAGATGAAGATGAAGATGAATATACACGTACTTTACGTACTGTTTCAGTGAAACGTAGATGATCAGTTCTAAGATTTTTCGTTAGACTTTATCTGGTGACTTTGAAAGGATCAGAATGTCGTCCACAAACTGAGGACTCTTGAACGTGTAGCCCATAAATTTCTTAAAGTACATGTCTTAAAAGTCTCTGCTAGGGTTCTACGTACGACGATCCCACCCCGAACAAAAACCTCTGACAAAACCCCCATGGACAATTACCCGTCGGACAAAAACCCCTCATGGACAAAAACAGTTTAAGGAATACAATCGTTCCACTCATCATCAAAAGGGATATTGCTGAATTCTAGTATAATGTCTCAAATGTATTGTAGCCCATGATGGAATCTGTTAAATCAAATAAAAGAGAAGAGAAGGAAAGGAAAAGAATAAATAATCATTCTCATGATCCAGACCCTGCTCAAAAATAAATGATCACAAATGCTTTTGGTGGTGGTTTTTGTCCGGAAGGACATTGTCCAGGGATCATTGTCCGATTACCCCTGCTAGGCGATACTCTTCGATTTTTAATTTTCTTGTGCTGTCGTATAGCTTTACACTCCTAATGGTGCGCATGTGTTTGTAGGAATTACTTAAGTTTCGTTGCCTCCGGCATGTTATGTGCTGACTACCGATCTTTCGCCATTCATATTTTAGTTTCCATTAAAGCAGTTGATGATCGAGTACAGTTTCGTCGTTTCGTTGTAAATTTGATCAAGCCACGCTAGCCGCTTTCCTCTCTCTTAGCAGTTTTGATACGTCGGCGAGGTCGGCTGGGGCCCAGAAGGGAACGCTTTTATTCGGTTCTGCCACTATTCCGAAGCAGCCATCGCAACCAGCGATGTTCATATGCGCTTGTGAGTCCAAAGGTTTTAGTCCGCAGAACAGAACTTATGTGACAGTAGTCCAGAAAAGTCAGATCATGGTAGAGGCTGCTATTCCTCTCCGAATCCAAGCGTTCGTAAGGCTGTTGAAAATGAACCACGCCAATGCATTCCTTCTGCTCAGATCATGATCACAGTTCGTCTCCATAAAGCAGATGGCGCTAAACTGTTTGAACTGCGACACTCCTGCGACCTTTCCATGAGACATGTCCACTTCCACGGCACCATTATTCAATTCCCTGGCTGTCTGGAGGAATTCAGTACGAAACTGATTCGAAATTAGACCGATTCGAAAGCCTTTTCGAAATCGACGAACTCTAGGCACAGAGGAAGTTGTTATTTATTCCTTGTCGGAAATATTCGTTGTGCCATCTGAAGAAGGTCCGCAGAACTAAGTCCACTTCTGAATCTTGCTTGCTACCGTGGCTTGCAGCGTTCAGTAAACACTAAGCATATATCAGCATAATTAACGGTACATGAACCGACCCGTTGCATTTCCAAGTCGGATAAAACTACTATCAGGGCAGAAAAGTTTTGGAAGCGTTGTTCTAATGGAAGGTGAGACCAAAAGCACGTGACGGATTTCTGGAAAAAAGCAAATTGCATCTGCATGATCGCGAAGTTGATATTATACATGCGTGTGTTTAGTAATACTCTGTTACGAGTAATTTCAGTTATTATCATTTAATTCATATTCTTTCATACACCGCAACTTCTCTCAGCAGCCAGAGGCTAAACGTGATCAAAACGGCTGCATGCTGCATCAGATTTTTTACATCTAAAACTTTTCGCTCTCTCCTACTGATACCTAAGACAGCGGCATTCCGACCCGTCTTTTGCCATAGCTGTGGGCTTTAGGTAGTCAATGCTGGCCCTCCTAAATTTCAGAATGAGGCAATTTCCAGCGATAACTCATCGCGTTGTGCGTAATATCTTCAGTTGATATATCTGCTTCGATCGATAATCAGATTTTGGAATTTTCTTACTTTCTCCACTCATGTTTCCTGCACATTCCTGTTCGGTGAAATGGCAACATCAGCCATCTTGTTCTGGCGATTCAAGATGAACATTCAAGATGAACTCGATGCTTGTGATCAATGAAATGTTTTGCGAGATTGTCGAAACGGATGCACACTGACCATTCTAAAGCTTACTCATTGGATAGTACGGCGTCGTTTCTGAATTTAAGCCCATTTTGTGATGCCACCATGCCATGTGAGGTAGTCGGTGTTTGCCAAAATGATGCTTCCTGCAGCGACAGGTTGGATCGATTCGATTGTGCTGTCACACATCCTCCATCTGTTCCGGATCGTTTCCTTCAGGGCGTATTTCTTATGCCGTTACCATAGTTCTTTGTATACGCGACTTGATATTATATTGCAGCTGAAAACCCTTCTGTTTCAGACAAAAATCCCTCTTCTCGAATTGAAGCGTCCAACAGAAGAATGAGTGAATGGAGAAAGAAAGCCCTTTATGGATGACACTGTGCCGCCATTACGCCTGGTCGAATCGATGCCAACAGTCACTTGCAAGTCTGGGCATCACAGTTCCACTGCCCTTCTTTACCATGTAATTACTTTCACCTGACTTTAGCGGTTTAAATTCTGTCTTCTTCTGCTATGACTCTATGTAAACGTTAATCCTTCGTCAGAGCGAATGTATGAAAGGTATTTTCTTATTCTCGTAGAGATCAGAATCGTTCAGCAAACCTCGGACGCTGTGCCTCAATGGCAGATCCATTCTGCTCGTAGATGATTTCAGAGGGTGAATGCAGAAATACGTAAATATAGCCCTGACCTTTCGATCAAGATCATTGAATGACATTTGAAACCATTTCACCATACGAAATGTTTATGCTGGCACCAGCTCAGGGCATTGATAATATTTGTCAATATTATTACTGTGTAAATCTAAGCCATTATTTTCAATCATACCAGCACGGATGTCATCAGATATTCTTAAAAAGTTTCTTTGACCATGGTCTGAACCTCCACTCTAATAAGATACATTTATTATTTAAACAATCATTACGATCATGGAAATTGACGCAAGAGAATAAAGACTGCATATTTAAACAGAAACGCTACCAGCTGTGACCCGGGAGTGAGCGGGTACAGCTAAAAGCCAGGTGCACATCGGACGAATGTCGGCGACGTCGGGTGGCTGTTGTCTTGAGTGGTGTTTTTATTGCGTGAAGAGGAGTAAGGACAAAGAGCAACAGTGGGATTGCC